GACATCCCTGGAGTCCCCCCCACCCACCCGCTTGATAAGGGAGCACTAGCACAGTAATCAGCACTCGTCACGCATTTCAAATGCAAACCCCATTCGAAGTCATTGAGAGACCCGTTAGATCAAACATGCGCAAGGAATAGGAGTCTTACATATTAAAAATAGGAGGAATAGAAAGYGCTTCCCCACCAGCAAGTGAGGCTCGTTAGGCAGCTGCTCAAAACTTAAATGAGCTGCAGGGTAATTAGAAAATTCCTCTTTGCAGCACATGCTCCTCTTCCAAGAAAAGTTATTTTGATGTTCTGCCTTTAATGAAACTTGAACCACGTCCAGAGGGCTCTTGGAGGATAGAATGAAATACCAATTCTCCAGCCGCTCGCTCCATCTGCAGCTTCGTTATATTTCTGCATTATAAACTGTCTGTCCGTGGAGGGAGGCAGGAAACACCACCGAGACGGAGCTTCTTCGAGGACCAGACGCACCTATCCCTCGCTGAGGTGGAGGTAGAGACAAGAAGTGCAAGACAAGAAGCCTCCAGGGAGCAGATCTGACCTGTTCAAGCATTTTCCTCTAGCAATCGGGCAAGCTGTTGTGATATTTTCTGCAAAATCCAGATGTCTCAGATATCAAGAGCATCTTTCACAAGCCGAGCTGGAATCCGAGCATCGATTTGACCTTGTTAAAAGCGTGGATTCGATGCATGCAGTAATTCCCACCGSTTGGTGGATCAGGCTAATTGAGGCATTTATTTTGTCTTAAGAAAGTGCAACTCAGGGCTGACCGCGACGGCTGCGTCCGTGAGAAACCCTTCACATGGGCAAGGGTCACAAGGAGACGCTGCCTTCCACGGAGCTCCAGACACAGCCCAGGGATGAGAGGGGAGAGCAGCTCCCTTCTGATCATGCTCATGCAGGTCCCATGAACCGACTGAACACGCAGCGGATGCCGGAGCAAATTTGCTATTTCAGCCCCTGTAGCTCCGGCTGAGAAGGGGCTATGGAGCCGCAGACAGGACTGCAGGACAACCCTATGGCCAAACGTGAAACATACTCCCCGTTTCAGAGCTATATTCCACCTGTTGAAGAGCATTAAGCAGCTCCACAACTAAAGAGCAGCCAAGTCTTACACCCCAACGTTCCCTCAGAGATACTGTCCAAAATAAACAGTTGTACTACCAAAAAAAGCTACTTCTGCTCGACTATATAAGCAGAATATTTGTAATTTCCCCCGATTTGCATCTACAAGATGCATCTTTCTGTGCTTTACCAAGACAGAACCAAATCTTACCGGACAGTGGTACTTGGGAAGGCTTGAGGGATTTGGGGAAGAAAGGAGTGATGCAGAAAGATTCAGAAAAAGCAGAGTTCTCCAGGAGGAGCAGAGACTGCAGTTTGCTTGGCTGGCTAGGTAGATGTAGGCTATTAAGCTATTTTAGAGCAAACTTACGGTTTTAATTATTTTGCATGAATTAGCAGGAGTGCTTGAACATAACTACAAAGAGCACCTAAACGCAGTAACATTTTAAGTGGCTGCGTAACGGTGCTTTTTAGGAACRAGCGGTTCAACGCTGGATGCATCCAAAGAGCTGCAGCCACGGAAACGCCATTCCAGAGCGGGAAACGACACTGTCTGGATTCACACGGGTACACCCGGCAGCGAGGGCTGTCACCTCATGTCACACCAAGCCCTCTGAGATGATTAATTCACCGGACACCCTAAAACCTGCTGGAGAGCAGAGCTCAGACGAGAGGGCACCTCAGCTAACCAGGAAGAGGTTCTGGGCCCTCCTACATTTTCCTGGGAAACCCCAGGGGTTCCTAAGYGAGCAGGCCGGCGTGTCGGTGCCTGCAGAGCGGCGGGATCCTGGGGGCAAAAGCAGAGCAAAGAGGTTGTGTTTAGTGCCAAGCCACGAGCGAGGAGCGCGAGGGGCCTCTGCGCAGCCTCCCAGGTGAGGCCGGTTGCTGCTGCTGCCGGGGACCCATGCGCACAGCCTTTTAAACCAAGAGGGCCCGGGGACAATAAGCCCATGGTAAGTGACAATTATATAACACAGACGGGGGTTGCTATGACCTTGGGCAAGTTGTTACTCAACGTTCGGGTTTCTTTTGTCAAAAAAAAAAGCACGAGTTACTCAACAGGCGGCATGGGGAGAGCGAAGCACTAGGAGGTTATTTGAAAGCCGGCAAACATAAACACGATTCCAGGATTCTTGTCCMGACACACGGAACAATCCCAGGGTTACAAGCAAGGGAGACCACCTGAGCCAGCAACTGAATTGCCTTCACCACCAAGAAAAAAAAAAAGAAAATGTGAGGAATGAGAAGGGCCTGTAATGGGATGTGTACCTGAAATCCCCTCTCCTTCCTCCTCTTTCCCAGGAAAGAAGAGGAAGATTCTGAACGAGGTGAGGAAGTACAGAGAAAAGCCTCCAATTCTGGGTATATTATTACCTTATTAGGAGCTCCCACCAGCCAGGTCTGTTAAAAGCTGCACAGACAAAAAATACCCTTTGTATAAGCAAAAATTCTCTTAACCTACATAACTCTGCAGAGTGCAAACTAGGCCAGTTACTTTAACTGAGCCACAGAAGAGCATATGGGCTCCAGAAGTCCATATGTAACCAGCGACCCAGTTACATAAACCACCACATGAACTCTTAACAAGTTAGTGATACGAGACACAACTTCTCCTAGGTGTTTTAATACTCTGCTCCAAAGAAAAATTGCTCAAATGATGGGGGAAAAAAGACCTTAAAATCATGAACTTTTCCATCAGCTTCTCACTGAAAGGAGCCACGATCCTATCGCAAATATTTCCTCCCTGCAATTCCCTGCTTTGTTTCACCTGCACATTACCAAGGCTGCGTACGCGGCGAGTACATTTCGGCACGATCCAGTATTCCTTTTAATCGCTGGCCATTATCCCGCTCGTTTTTAAAACTCAAAAACTTTGACATTTAAAGTGACTGCACAGTATGGCCAAGAACAAACCTGAYACCAGAGAGACATTTTCCAAATGAGGCGAGATACTGATCACTGCTTTACACAGAGAGCAGCGATCCTGACCACAGCGGCTGCTTGTGTCTTTGAAAGTCTCTCTCGTGTCTGGGTTAATAAACTTTCAAAATTATTATTGCTTTATCTTTTGCAAATTCCTTCAATTTTGTCATTTGCTAATGAAGAGGCCTAGCAATTTTAGACTCAAAACCTTTACGCCTTTTTACAGCCACAAGGAATTTCATGCTGTACCTCTTACAAGCAAAAACAAGTTTAAAAATATATATATTCTCCTGATAAGGATCACTTAGAAAGCAGAACTGTTAGTCAGCATGTCCCGATCTGACAGCAAAACTAAATACCATTGTTCCAGTCTGYGTGAACTCAATCTGTCTCCACCTGAAAGAGCAAACGTCAAAGTAACAACAATAAAAAGACATTAAAAGACAACGACCTACGCGACCAGATGGTCCTCCCAAATTTGCACTGCCAGTTCCTTAGCTCACTTGAGGTCACAAAGAAACAGAACAGGAATCTGCTCATATCCAGAGCAGTTTTTCCATGAAGCGGAACAGGAATCTGCCCATATCCAGACAGTTTTTCCGTCTCCATATCCGACTTGCCACCCAGCAAGGGCTGCTCAACAGGATTGCTTGCGCGTAGCCCAAATAGGGCAGCCTGTTTGCAATCCTTGCATATTTACCCACACAGAGAAGCGCAATAAAAAGACAGTTGGCCACTAAAGACCTTATTCCATTTAGATGGCTCTTCTGCTCCTCTCAAAAATGCACGAATGCATTTTGGTTGGAAAAAAAAATACTAGSGCGTAGAAATGACACTTCCTTTTGCAGCCGCTGTTTGCTGCACGCGGAGATCGCGCTGAGGTGGTGACAACACGCTCGGGTTTTATCTTTTTGGGCTCCTGCAAGCTCGGCAGAACAAGCTCTGCTACGGAAAAGCCAAATTCCAGCCTTGCTTCCTGTGCCAAGCCAGATGCTCTCATGAGACCTTTATGGTGGTGGCACAAGGCACAGAGAACCCAGTGCAATTATCACATCCCCCTGCRAAGGCTGTTCACACAGGGCAGGTGCCCGGAGAGCCATTCCCAGCCTAAAAAGCCAACTCCCGGACAAAAGGCTTTAACTTTATTACCCTCTTCCCTCCATGATGTGCACATTCCACCAGCAGCGGGAGGTTTTATAGTGATCTTTGTCACACAAGCCCAGAATACACAAAGAAGAAAGAAAAGGAGCAATTTCAGCAGGCAGGGCACTGTACGAAGGGGCACCCATCTAGCCCATGGTGGTGAGGGAGCAGGAGCAGCCGGCGCCTCCCAGGGCGCAGGGTCCCTCTCTGCAGTGTCACAGTGGAGCTGGCCTCTCCAAAGGGCCCTTCCCAGCCTCATCCAGTGGCTCAGGGCCCTTCCTACAGCTCGCCTAAGTCTCCCACAGGAATCCCAGCCCAGCCTCTCAATCCTCTGCACTTCTCTGTCCTGACACGCCTTTTGTCACCTCTCCTAACCCAACATCCTCCTAGGAAGCCCCCCTTCACTCCTTACCCCCCAACACCTTCCTACTGCCCCCAAGCCCCCTCTCCACCCCTTTAGAGGCCTCCCTCCCCAGCACTCACTCCCCAAACCCCAGCTCCCCCAGAGAGCCCTGCCCTTGCACCGCTCTCATCCCCTCTAAAAGCTCTCTAAAACCTGCGGCTCCGGGGATTCTCTGAGCCCTGCAAAACCCCACTGTCCGACCCAGAGGCTTCCTCGCCGAGCTGCAGAGGCCTGCGGGCCCCCTCAGCCGGCCCAGCTCCCCTCCAGGGCTCCCTCAGGCCGCCCAACCCCTTGCCCGGCCCTCGAGAGCCCCTCCAGCCTCCTCTCCCGAGAGCCCTCAGCGCCTTCCAAAGCCCAACCCCCCTCAGAGCTCCCTAAACTCCCTCGGGCCGCCSCAAACCTCTCCCCGGGAGCCGGATCCGCCCCCGGCCGAGCCCCAGGGCCCCGGCCCTCCTCACCGAGCAGCAGCAGCTTCACCTCCTTGGCCGCCTTCTCGCCGTCCTCGCGCAGGTTGCGGTCGATCATCTTGCTCCGCTCCACGGCCGCCTTGTCCTCGGCGCTCAGCGTGCAGCCCATGGCGGCGGCGGGAGGGGCGGCCGCGGAGCGCGGCCCACGGAGCGGGAGCGGGGCCGGGGCCGCGCCTCGACTCTCGCCTCTTCCCTCAGGCCGGGCGGCTCCGTGAGGCGGTTCCGGATATCCGGCGCGGCGACCGTTACCCGCCCGCCAACCGCCCCGGGGCGGCGCCGCGCGCGAGGCACGACGGGAAACGTAGTCCGCCAGCCGCGGCCGCGCGAGGCACGCCGGGAGCTGGAAGCCGCCCCGCCTCGGTGCAGCGGGGGGTGATGGGAGTTATGGAGGTCGCGCCTGACTTCCGCCTCGGTGAAGAGGGGCATGACGGGAGTTGTAGTCCAACGGGGCAGGAGGGCCTGTGTGGCCCCATAACTGCCCCAGCTCCAGCCACATAACCAGCCCCACACGCAGCCCCGGCCCCACAAGCAGCCCCACTCCAGCCCCACCACATCCCCCCAGGCTGCCCCCTCCATCTCCCCCAGTCACTTCCACGAGGGATGGAGCCCAGTGTCCCCCGCAGGGCCATGTGGGGCCACCCCCTCCCATGTCACTCACCATGGGGACACCAGTGACCCCCTAAAACCAGCCCCCCACGTCCCCCAAGCTCCCGCCACCAAAGAGAGGCAGGACTTTCACCCTCAAGGCCCAACATGGCAGCCAACATGGCAGCGTGTGGGGGGCAGGTCCCCGTGGCCACCACGTCCCCGTGGCCACCATGTCCCCATGGCCACCATGTCCCCATGGCCACCATGTCCTCATGCCCACGTCCCCGTGCCCACGTCCCCGTGCCCATCCAGGCCACGCACAACCAGCTCTCCTCTCGCAGCCGTGTTTGCCCCGCACCCGGCCCGGGCGGGCGCTTACAGCTCCGCTTTGGCCGCGGCGGCCACGTAGCCGCCACCGCCACCACCACCGCGCCGCGGCTCGGCCGCCTCGGCCGCCTCCTCGGCCACCTGGCCCGGGATGCGGAAGTCCACGGGCGGCTGGTCGCGCTTGGGGCTGCCGGGCCCCGGCGGTGGCTCGGCGGGGCAGCCGGTGCCCTGCAGGAACTGCAGGAAGTTCTCCTCGATGGAGCCCTCGCGGCTCGGCAGCCGCGGCTCGTCGCCCGCCGCCTGCTTGAAGAAGCACGTGAGGAGGCGGCCGAGCTCGCCGCGGATCTGCCGGTTGAGGCAGCCGTAGAAGAAGGGGTTGGAGGTGAAGCACAGGTAGCCCAGCCAGGTGACGACGGTCTCGGCGTGGCGCCCGGCCGGCGCCTGGGGGCTCAGCGCCGCGTACACGTGGAAGGAGAAGTAGGGCAGCCAGCAGAAGAGGAACTGGCCGCCCACGGCGAGCAGGATGGCGGCCGCCTTGCCGCCGGCGCGCTGCGGCGTGCCGCGCGGCGCCCCCGAGCCCGTCACCATGGTGGAGCGGCTGCTGAGCGACTCGGAGCGCCGGCGCGGCGTCTCCAGCCACGTGGGCGGCGGGCCGCGGTGCATGGCGGCCACGCGCGCCACCTTGAACATGCTGCAGTAGACCACGACRATGATGAGCAGGGGCAGGAGGAAGTAGAAGGCGGCGAAGAAGACCACGAAGAACTTGCAGTAGGGCCCGCGGCTCCATTGCAAGGAGCAGCGCCGGCCCGCGGGCGCYGGCGGCCGCTCCGGCGAGAGCCAGCCCAGCACGGGCACCAGCGAGGTGGCCACGGCCTTGAGCCAGACGCCCACCAGCACRCAGGCCACCAGCCCCACCGTCATCTTCACCTCGTAGCGCATGGGGTGCACCACGTAGTAGTAGCGCTCCACGTTGATGGTGGAGATGGAGAGGATGCACATGCTGACGAAGCAGACGCTGAGGAACAGGTAGACGCGGCACATGGCCTCGCCGAGCACGGGGCTGTCGAAGACGGCCGAGCCGGAGAGCATCTCCAGCGGCATGAGGGTGAGGGCGGCCAGGAAGTCCACCAGGCACAGGTGGAAGACGAAGACGAACTTGCGCAGCGCCGGCGTCTTCACGATGACGCTCATGACGGCCGCGTTGCCCACCAGGGCCGTCAGGTTGATGAGCAGCATGAAGAAGAGCCCCACGGACCTGGAGGCCACGTCCTTGGGCTTGCCGTCACCCGTGCCATTGTGGGGCATGGGCCCCGGCGAGGGCGGCAGCGCCCGCGCAGCCCTCGAGCCGTTCCAGGCCCAGGGCGCCGGCACGGAGGGCTCCATGGTGGCCCCCGCGGCCCTCACTGGCCCGTCGCCCATGGCAGGGACCGTGTGGCGGCGCCCGGTGCTCACATCGTCGGCGGCCCCGCGGCGGCGCTCAGCGCCCGCCGGCCTCATCTGCCGCCTTCCGGGCACCGCGCAGGGCCCGGCACCTACGGGCGACGGGGCGGCCGTCAGCACCGAGGGGGCAGCGTGGACCCCAATGCCACCCCCCTGCATCCAAGTACCCCGCCCCGAGCCCCCWCTCATTCCCTTGGGGAACCAGCAGCCCAGACGCGTCAGAAACCCAAAGTCTGGTGTTTCCGCCCCAAAGCCCCCGAGTGCAGGGACCGCCTGGGGCTCTGCTGAGCCTGGGGACATCAGGGTCCCTCCTGACACCCGGATTCACCCTTTAACCCCCACCCGGAGCATGCCCCAGCCTGGGGGCTGGGTGCCCCCACCCAATCCCCCGGGGGGAGCCGGTCCGTGTGAGGGGGGGGAGCAGCCCGGAGCGACCCCCCTGCCTCCCCGCGGGTGCTCCCCGGGCCAGGGCAGGGTGCCCGGGGGGCCCAGACGCGCCGCGCCCGGAGCCGCCGCCCCGCGCCCCTCCCCGCGGGTGCCCGGGCCCCTCCCGCCTTCCACCGACACTCGCCCCGGGCCTGGAGAAGGGGGGGGGACAGTGGGGACCCTCCCGGCCCCCCCTTCCCGGTCCCGTTCTCCCGTCCCCGCGGCGGGCCCGGCGCGGCGGTGAGGGGCGCGCGGAGCAGGGGGGCTCCGCCAT